TAGCTATATTATTCCTGAAAAGTTGTTTACATGTTTTGAACTGACTTTTTTTTATATATATGAACAATGAAAAACCTATTGAACAATACTTGGTTGAAACACGTGAGTTTTATTAAGTAAATTTGTAAAACATTTATCCATTGTTTAATATTTGTAAAAAATTTTCACCGAATGATCACACTTTTGACCACTTTGTTAATATTACAATTGCAAAGTGGCTCACATAGAGTTTCACTTCAATTTTAATATTGGTATGACCAATAATTTTTTAGTTTTGTAATTGCAAGGTTACAAATTTATATAATAGGCCAATATTTTAAAAAACAGCAAAACTACGTTAAAATTTAACATATTCCAAATACAAAAAGGTGCATAGATTACTAATAAGAATGTAGTTCAGTGATTACCTTCTACCAATGAAAATTCAAGATAAAATTGATAATTATCGTTTAAGGCCAATGAGAAATTAAAACGTCTGACAAGTTATAATTTAATATTATTTTCTACGTTAATATTACTAATTTATTGAAATGCAATTATTGTAGACAACTTGAAGGTTTTTTTAATGAGAGTAAGTATGCAGTAAGAACAACATATTTATACGAACATCGCAACTAACTATTTTAAAACGTCGAGATATTTTTAAATTAAAATGACCATCGAGTGGTTGCATTAAATCTACCTATTTGAGATTTATTTTGGTTTTTACTTACATGAAGGTACATTAAGTTAACGTTTTGATCTCTTACACAAAAGTGCACAAGATATTAAATTATATATACTTAATATAAAAATGTTCTATTATCACCAAGGAAAATTATAACAGACATTTTGTACACAATAAATTATAATTTTCCTACGTAAGTTTTTCAATAAACGGATGAAGATTGTAAATCAGCTAAATCTAGCCAAGGCCACCAAAAATTGAACAGATAATACAAAAAAAAGCTTCTCTATTATGTTAAAATAAATGATACAACTATTTTTTTTATGTAACATTAAAAAAATCTATCTGCATGATTATTTTAGATTTTTCGAATTACAAATATTGAAAATAAGAATGAGACTGGTAATTTTTTGTAGTCATAAATCAAATTTAAAATTAGATGAAATGTAGAAATTTGTAAACAACAAACAAAATCCTTCAGTGGGATATTCCATCTTTAAGTTTCGACCTTCGTTTTAAAACTCCTTTTTTCAGCGAAATAAAAGGAATTTTAGTTATTTTTTCATCTGGGATAGACACGAGAAACCGCGTCAATAATTTTAGTTTAATTAGTAGTTTCAGAATTAAAAAATCTGCTGAAAAGCCTACAATTCACACGCTACGTGAGAAGGGTCAGGGTTAAAAATTAATGAATTTTGCGTTACCAAATTAATGGGCAGTCCCTTCTTATGATTTCATAAGGTCCGAAACCCTTAAAATGTGACACACTACATTGGACAATAAGGAAATCTGTTCAGTATCTGTTTATGTATATGTATTTTTTTAGATACCCTCTATATATGCTATTGCAGCACTGAAGCAATGGCGAATTGGTACTTTGTACAGACAAATATATTATCTACATCTATATATTCGAAATTTATTAATACCTGTTATCTAACACGCTATAATTGCTTTTTTCATAACATTACTGACATGCAATATCTGCAAGAGTATTTTTTTTTTCGAAAGCGTATACACAATGGACAATTTATTTTCTTACAAAGGGAATTTGATGGTAGTATCCACTGCACGAAATAACAATCTACATTAATTATGTTTTTAATCTCTAGATAATATATGCCTTTCAGAAGAGTAAACTATCTTCAGCTAGATCGATATAGGTAAAGACTTGTCATGTTCAATCGTGAAATGCGTGTATTACATCCAATTATATGTAATTAAAACGATTGCACAATAAGTTAAGAATAAATGAAAATTTATTTCAAAAGTTTCCAAACCAATTAGGAAAGATGCACGGTATCTCACCACATTCAATTCTTCTATTAAAAAATGCTTTTTATTAATAAGAAACAATCTGAATTTAGAATCGAATACTTCCGACAGGTACCTATAACCGAAACAATTTAAAATAAACTATTGTATTGTTTCGTAGGTCTTATTTTACCAAAATTTTAGGCAATAGTCGTTTACCCTGTATATACTGAGTTCCAAAGAAACAATACAGATTTTAAAAGAAAAAACATTGTTCAAATTGTGCATACATAAAAATTCCTAATGATTCCTAGTTTCTGAGGATTAATAAATTTAGGCATAATTTCGGAGTGCAATTGAAGCTAAAATTAATTTAAACACTCACTTGGACAGGTTTTCCGAAATATATATTTTTCACAGTACCACCAATTAATATATGAAAAATTTTTGCACCCACAAATAAATTCGATGCTTCAAAAGCTGTACAATAAACCCTACTGATTTGACCAATTAGGCATAATATGCAAGTATGAAAACCGGATGATAGTAGTTAAGACGTAATAAACAAAGGGGTGCTATTTTTAGCGTTTGCGTCCATTTATGTCCATTTATTGTCAATAAAATAATCGCATCAATAATTAAACCAAAACTACCCTCGTTTTCAGTAAAATTGATTGTAACTGAATCATGCTAGTGTTGTGTTCTAATGTGTTGCTTCTCAAAATTCATTATCACCAAAAATAAAGCATAACTTATTCAAAAACTAAGAACAACTCTTCTTTTCTATTTTGTCAAAAATGGCGGGGTTACGTGGGGAGATGGACATTTTAGATATGCCATTATGGTTAAACACTTTTAACAATAAGTATCTTTATGATTAACGTGCGTATTATTTCTAGGAGTGCCAAAACACTTCTAATGGCTAATGTTGATCTAATTATGGTGCATAAAGGTACTAAATCCATAAATGGTAAACTTTATTACTTCCTGTATCACCTATAAATAATCATCGACTCAGACCCATGCATTATTGTCCAACACTAAAATCTTCCAAAACTAGCATTGCTCTTCAATATATTTATTACTTATACATAGGGATGTGATTTATTTGAAATACTTACATTTAAATACTTTTTTGAGAAAAGCGTTTTGTGTTTAAATACTCTTAATAAACTATTTTTCACATCTTTGCTTCTGCACGTGTTTATGAACACGTACTTGGTGTAGAATGATACAAAAACAGTAACATTACGAAATACAATGAGAGTGTACCTTCAGAGATTAACTTAACCCATTTTGTTCAATACATCCCGTTAAAGTTGAAAGAAAACTTTTACTTTTCAATGGCAAAGTAAAGAAATAATAAAACGATAAAAGAATACAAAAGAATAATAACGTTTTGTACTTATTAAGGTTGATTATAACGTCAGTACGTGTATTAGTAGACATTAAAAAAGAAAGAAAATAAATGTTAAAATGCTAACTTGAACTATTTAGATGAATTGGTTATTCACAATTAAACTTTTGGAAATTATTTTAAAATTTTAGGTTGTTAAATTTAATAACCAAATGGGGATAATTCTATAGCTTGGTGAGCTAGTTAGTCAGTATTTTGATTAATTTTCTTCATTTATTTTGTGAAATAAACAGTGGGTCAATGAATTGGCCCATCTAGCGCCAACTGATGATAAAGGTCAAACTTCTTTTTTTGCCAAAATTTTTCATATTAGACATATGCTAAGTAAAAGTTAGTAAATAAGCCTTGGACTCCATGCATGCTGTAATTAGAAATATTTTAACTTCTACTGCAGTTTTCTTAAATTTGAAGATTTTGACGTTGGCCTTTATAGCTTCAACCTCCAACCCTCAGAATTAAACACCAATAAAAGCAATTTTTAAGTGGTCATTTAAATACATATATTGAAATGACAGAAACGAAACGATTTCTTAACAACATACATTTAACCATCAGTAGGGTAAATAGAGGTGCAAATACAACCAAGGAAAAAAAAGTTTATTATAAATAATATATTTTGCGCGACATTTTTAGGTAAAACTGATCACTTGGAAGTTACATAACGTTTGAAGGGTTAGGGGCGTAAACTGAAACGTTACGGTGCGTTATAGAGTGGGGGGTAATTTTTTTTAAAAACTGCGTTACATAATACTTGAACGACTCCCACGATAATACAAAAAAAAGTCACATGCACTTTGAGGAGGACGTATGCCCGGTATGTCCCATCTTCCCATTTAAATTACGACTTACCCTCTGATTGCTACACCATATTAAGATATGATGTAGAAATCAGAGAAACTAATTCAAACGATAAAACCTAACGAAAGTTAAAACAAAACCAATCGTTTTAAAATGCCAAGCATCAATTGTATAGTAATCGTTACAAAACTAATGTTATCCTTTTAAAGGGCAATTGCATGTATATTCCCCCTAGGAAAATTATCATAAATAATAAGACAATAACGATGTCATTTAATGACGTAAGATGACCGACAGCTGGAGGTGTGTCTGAAACGACATGTCGAGGAAACGTGTCGACTATAACGTAATACCTGGTGCACGTTAAAGTGATCACGTCACAGTTCACACCTGTCCATTACTACAGTAAACTAGCTTCGTCCGGTTTAAACAGTATTTTATTATTAAAATTTCAAGAAATAAAATTCTTTAAGTGATATCATTATTGTTATAAAACATTTCACGACTATTGACCTTCTGTTATCACGCTATAATTAATTCTTTAATAATACTTGCAAAGTTTTTGCAAAAACAAAGTGATACAAGGTTTCTAGAGTTTCTATAGCTTATTTTTAATTTTTTTCATAAACATTACATTATGAGAAATACAAATAAAAAATTATTTGCGACCATTATGCGTACCAAAATAGACGCTGGGTATGTTAAACTAAAATAGATAAGGTAAGGCGTAATTCAAATTAAATCGAAGCGCTAGAATTTTCCCGCTAAACAGGTAAACCAACTTTTTACTTTTTAGTGATCAATACCTGTATGCCTACTACGACTGTTAAGCAAAAATAATAGAGAGTATGTATAAATAATTACCAGAAATGCTTTTCCCTTCGAACAGCATCGTTGATTGAAGTTCCAACCAGCTAATTGTCCTTTTATCCCAATTTAATTAAAAACCACATTATAATTTGACAGTGAATCAGCTGTAGCTGTCTCCCGATAATCGCGAACGTGTGACAACGGCAAATCACTAAATATGTTCACATGCAATTTTTCCACGACACCACTAAATAAAACGGTGATATCGTCAACAATACTAAATTTGCATTAACAAAACGTCTTCCCCGTGTCTCAACTTGACCGATCAGAAACGTTTTGAGTAATTTAACCTCAAACGTCGTTCGTCACGTGTTGTACGTTTGTATTTGTTTGGCAACGTCAATGGACAGATGGACGAACGGTCTTTAAGTAAAGGATCAAAAATCGACATTCCTTTAAGTATATAAAACAGAAACTATACACCGATTGCCTGGCTATCTCAAATTGCGAGAGACAATTTTACCACTTATACGAGCTACAAGGTTATTTTTCGTCGATTATTTCGTCATTCATTTTGTCAATAAATTACACTGATTCTAAGAAAGTCCTTAGATCTTGCAATGTCTAGCAATACTGTCACCTTGACGAGTACAGTAGCCTTTCACTCTTTTTTTTCCAAAAAAAAAATTAAATTTTAAGAATTCAAACGAGCTTTAAGCATGTGATTCTATTTTAAAATATAAGACTGGAAATATGCCAAAACTTTCAGATACATCATACGTAGCTTGCGCTTTCTTTTGCGATCAGTCGTGATCCGATTTTTTGTAGCTGATACGTTTATACGAATATGATACTAATTAAATACACATGTATTGTAAAAGCATTACACAATGTTACCTGCTGATGATGAAAATTAAAATTTATTTTATTTAATTTATTGTAACATTTGCAACACTCCCTACCTGTAGTTGTAACTTATTTATTTTAGATACTTATTTCGGTTTGCAAATTTTGCAAATAAGGGTAATAAATAATAACATACGTAATGGGGAGTCAGTTCACGTAGTATTCTACACCAACCCAATTTTCACATGTGAATTTCGATAGTTTCATTGTGGACCTCTTTTGTTTCGAAATTATAAAGATCAGAGACATTATTTTATATTTTCACATTCCTACGAAAGTGAATAAACAAAAGGATAATCTTTTAGGCATCTTTATCAAAAAATTTAAAATTTTTTATTTGAAATAGATAACTGTGGTATTTACCGGCAGACGTCCAAATACCGAATTTTCGCCATAAGATCTTCTTTTTATTTTAATAGTATAAACCGCTAAAATAAACATGTAATATGCAAAATCCGTTTAAAAATTAATAAATAAATAAAAAAACATCCCTTTACAATAAATCAGAATCTTAAGACAACGGTTATTTATTGCATTATTAATATTGGTAGTTTTCATGCTTCATTTAAAACTTTTTTCAAGTAATGCGTTTCGCTTCATGCGTATAAACAGCTATTATGTACATTGACCAAGACCTTCATGCTAAGTACTAAAAGTCGAGTGACCCATTATTATTTATTAATTGTTAAATAGGTGCTCAGATGAATAGGTAGTTGTTATCAATACCTATTTTTTTTATTAAATAACAGACTCCATAATTATTAAAAATTTAATAAATCCGGATATTTAGTTATTTTCTCAATATTTTAATTTCAAAATCATATATATCTGTTTATATATAAATAATTACTTTTTATTTCCATTTTACAAATAATGAATGGTTAGAATAAATTGCAACTGATTCACGCTAGAATAAAAATAAAAATAATTTTTCAACCAACTAATTTATTGTATAAAATTGCTTTAAAATTTTTTTAACAAGGCATTGGAATGTGAAAAAGTAATTTCAACAACAAAAAAAAAAGAATTGACAGCTTTAGAGTTTCAAAATTTCTTGAACTGCTTTTACTACATGTTTCGAAGAAATTCCATACGTGTCCAAAAGTACAGCAGTAGGTCCAGACCTGGGCACTTCGGTAACTGCCAATTTTTTCACAACGAAATCTCTTTCTTCTGCAACTGCAGAAAGAACAGCGTCACCTATACCACCTTCTGAGTAATGATCTTCAACAGTAATAATTCTTCCTCCAACTTCCCTTCCATGCTTAATAATAGCATCTTTATCTATTGGCTTGATTGTAAATGGATCAAAAACTCTTACATTAACACCATTCTTTGCCAAGTCATTTGCTGCTATTAAAGCTTCCTGCAAGGTTACTCCTGCTCCAATTACTAACACTTTATCGTTATTACTCTTTTTCAAGATGTGCCCTTTACCAATCTACAATAAAATACCAAGCATTAATTCATAAAAATGAATGAAGATGTCTTTCAAACTACTTTTTTACTTCTTGGAACAATAATTTCTGCCTATTTTATAAACAAATTGTCTAAGTGGTATTTAAACTCAAAAAAATGAATGAAGATGTCTTTCAAACTACTTTTTTACTTCTTGGAACAATAATTTCTCCCTATTTTATAAACAAATTGTCTAAGTGGTATTTAAACTCAAAAATTTAATCGTTAGCATAAACATGAATTGTGGAATAGTATACTTTTTCATTTTTTTGTAAACTACTTGGTTAAGTGGTATTATTTTACCTCAAAAACTTGGTCGTTAGCATAAATAACGTTAGTGGGTGGACGATTAGTTCTTATAAAACAGATTCCTTTTGTATTAGCAGCAATTTCAACAGCCCTTTCAACACTAACTGCATCGGCAGGATAGAAAATGGTACTGCCAGGTACAGCTCTAAAAAGAGCAAGATCTTCCAATCCCATCTGACTTGGCCCATCCTCTCCAATACTTATACCACAATGGGAACCCACAAAGTTAACATTAGTTTGAGAAATTGCACCCATACGAATCTTGAAAAAGAAAATAACAATTCATGTTTTGAACGTTAATGCCAATTAGTATAAAAATAATTACTTGATCAAATGCTCTTGTTAAGAATGTAGCAAATGTAGAAACAAAAGCAACGGTACGATCCCTGCAAGCGGCGCCGATAGCAACTCCAACAAGATTTTGTTCGGCAATAAAACATTCAACAAATCTATTTGGATCAACTTTCTTAATTTTTTCAGAAAAGGTAGAATTTTTCATGTCACCATCAAGAGCAATTACTCTTGGATTATTTTCAGCTACTTTTGCTATTGCATTGCCATAAGCTTGTCTTGTTGCAATAGATTCGCCTAATTTGTAGTTAGGAGGTGAAGACAATTTAATGTTAGATATGTTCACTTGAGGGGCATCATCTTTTAAGGGCTTCTGAGGATGGATCGATAAAGGTCCTTGGTTTTTAATTAAAGTTTTTAAGTGCTACAAAAATAAAACAAAGAATACAATCATCCTCCAAATAAAAGTAATATTTTGTAATATTTGTTCCTTTTTTACCTGAACGACAGCGTCGGCTTTATCACCAAGTGGTTTTCCATGCCAGTTCTCCAAATCTTCAATGTTAGGGAAGTTTTTCCCCTTAAATGTTTTAGCAACCAAGGCAGTAGGCTTATCTTTAGTTGTAGCAGCTACGTGAAATCCTTTAACAAGTTCTTCAATACTGTGTCCATCAACAATTATAGCATTCCAACCAAAAGCTTCAAGACGCTTTTGGTAAACATCCAGCTGATGAGCCAATGGAGCTGGTTCAGACTGACCTAGACGGTTAACGTCAATAATAAGGCACAGATTATCCAATTTGTAATAGCTGGAAAAATTTATCGCTTCCCATATTGAACCTTCTGCGCTTTCGCCGTCACCAATTAAACAATACACCCTGAAAATGTAATTAAAATTAACTTCATTGGATCGCAAAACTAACATATACAATTTGCATTGACTCTCGTAAGAAATTATTGATTAAAATTAGAAAAACGGTTGTACAAAATACATAATACAAACGTCTGTGATATTTATATATATACATATATAACATCCAAACTGAAAATAGCAGTTTCTGCTACAGAAGTATCTCTTGTGAAAACAAGGTCTTATTAAGGCATTTAAGCTCGTTTTAAACGTTCTTATAGATTTTTCATATATATATATTTTTTTTAAAAATTATGCCGTTTGACTGTTAATTGCCAGCTTATTAACTGAGTTAAAACTGAATGAATATAATAGAAATTTTGTACATACATGACCCTATATAGTGCTGAATTTTTATGGCGCATGCATATGTATACATTTCTACATTCATTTAAATTAACTGTGTATTGGACCTTGTATTCCATTTTGCTTACAAGTTTTTTTGTCAAATAATATGTATTGGCCGATGTTCGGTACATTTTATTGGGAAATTTTAGATCTGTCAAAATGAATACGATAAATACATAAAAAAAAATATTAAAGGCTCAACTCATCGTTTTTATACGCTCAAATTAACTGTCTTCATTATTTTCATAATATCCACTTATTATTACGAAATAAGCAGGCAAAGGTTTATAAGAAAAATACGTTGATTGCGTTTCAAGTAGATAGGTATGTTATCGCAAAACTTTATAGCGCACGGTAAATATTCGATAAATAATTGATTGAAAAATTAAATTACACTAAAAATTAATACCTGTAGCTGGCTTTGTCGTATTTTTTTCCTACGAACGCCATACCAGCGGCTATTGATAAACCTTGACCCAAAGAACCTGTACCAACATCAACAAAGTTTAGTCTTGGTGTAGGGTGACCTTCTAAATCGGAATCAAATTTTCTCAAATTCTGAAGATCACTTATTGGGAATAGACCTGCCTCGGCCCAAGCTGCGTACAATATCGGAGCAGCATGACCTTTTGAAAGTACAAATCTATCGCTTGATGGATCTCTTGGTGCCGAAACTTTGTAACGCATCGTATGAAAAAATAAAACAGACATAATCTCTGCCATCGACGAACATGATGTAGGGTGACTGCAAAGAATAAAAATGTTATGAAAAGCTTAAATTATGGGCAGGCATAAGCGTAAACATCCAACTTCACATAATCCAAAACCCTTCGCAAAAATGGCTTACTTAATCGAAAGATTTGCGATTTCTTTCTCGATGAATATGATGCTAAATTATTTACGTAAAATTTCACTTTTTGGCAAAAGCGTCATGGAAAACACTATACGCGTCAGAAGAAAAGCAACACGCAGTCTGAGATATTCTTTACTTTTTCCTGCCTCGGCGCATAATACATATAATTTAATATTATCTCAGAACCCAGGGCGTTTTGAGTTGTGTGAGAGATTATATACTTTTACTTGTAATTTGCATTGTCATTTTAATGGAACTGTAGGCGTTTTGGGTTATATGGAACTTAAAATCTACAACGGTGTGCCTCACTTTTAGCCCATACAGAGAAAGCTCGGACTCGGAAAATATATGTGTATTGCATATTTCGTTAATATTAAAAATTTAAATTTGTTTATAATTTTCCGCTTCATACCTGCCTACCAACATGATTCTAACGTTACAAAAAAAGTTACGTAACTTGTTTTAACTGATGAGTAAGACAAAGCCGATGAATAAAAAGTAAGTTGCTAATATATACTCAAGTCGGCATACTGACGCAAAAAATATTTCTATTTCTATTTAATTCGGTACATACATCGATTCAATAAAAATCCCAACTAAGGATACACATTTTGAATGAAATAGGTATTAACAATTTTATCGTAGTACAAGCATTCTTATGCGATGTGTATGTAATTAGTTGAATGTTATGAAAATTGTAATCTATTCCAAAAAATATCTTATATTGAGCAAAAAAACGTTTTTGGACGGCATCTAGAGTGACTAAGGTGACAGTTTAAAATTCTTCATTTTTTGATAAGCTAAGATAGTTCAAGGACATGTTATGTGTGATCAGATACTGTGCAATACATTCATCATACACGTACATATACCACGTCAGAAATTACCTATTTACAATGCACACATCATTTGTAATACAGTAAAGCACATTAAATATGAACATTTTACATTTCACAGAATACAAAAAAAATTAAATAATTAATTTAAATTATTTTCAAAAATGTCGATAAATTAGTCGGTAATGCATTAAAAACTATTTAATAACAAAATGTTTTACCAAGGTTGCCCAGGTTTTTATAAATATTCTTTTTGTCTCATTTAGCGGTGCGTTAATGCTTGAAAGCGTTTAATCCTTGAATAATGAGAAGTTAGTTTGGATCATTTAATTTTGTTTTTTCTTCTGGGCACCTAAGTAATATACGGTGAAATTTAAACACAATCCATTCATCAAAATTAAAATATTCCTCTAACGCGATAATATTGATTAAGGAAGAAGTCATTTTTTTATGGCCGTAATAAAAAGTTATATATACTATAGTTATAACGCAACGGTTTTAGCGCTTGGAATAAAACTTTCCATTCTTTCTAATTGGGTGCATACAAAAATTACGGACTGCTAATTTTTGGAATGGCGTTGTTTATTTTTGCCTTAATAATTACACAAAGGTAATGTTTTATTAACGCTAATATTGCCGGTTACATGAAAACATATCTCTGCTTAAGATTAGTTATTTTTCCTATGGGTAGCTCATTGCTTATAAAAAAATAGTAGGGCGGAAACTAATAAAATAGTAAATAAATTAAAGGAAATCATTAAAAATAATTTTATCTTGGTTCAGTAACAGATAAGTAAGGCGGATACTTGTGCATTATTATACAACAAAATATTTTCAGCCAATACTTGACCCGTTTACATAATTAAATTTCGATAAACAAGCGATAAAAAATATTCTTATTTCAAACGTTTTAAGGAAAATTATTAAACGACTGCATTGATGCATAACATGTATAAGTAACTATAACATTTTTAAAAGAAAGGGACAGTAATACTTGCGGCGAATTAAAAGCCGAATAGAATAAATACAAAAAAAAAAAACAAATTTAGTATGTAGGAGTAACAATTTTATCTAACTGATATCAGCCTTAATGATAATGGTATTAAGTAATACATATCACAAAAAATGTTGTACCTGAATATAGTATTAGTGCATAATATTTTACAGTTGGTGATAAAATGCATACGTACCCTGATTTGCAGGCGTTTGTGGATTGAACACTATAAATTCTTAATCTGTTAGCAATGTCTTGAAGAGTTTTATTATCAGGTTGACTTTGGCCTGGCATTTTTACTGTTAGTGAGGTAACTAACAAATGAACAGTACTCCAGTGAGATCTAGCAATAGGCGGTTAACTTGTTTGACATTGACGGATTAAAATGAAATACACTTTCGTGTCCTCTCGATGATCTTTTGAAATAATTTTTATCAAATGTCGTCAGAGATAAACCATTAGAAAACACGTGATAAATGAAAATGTGTTTTTAACATTTAACATAAAAAATGCCGGTTTATATGACTTTTTTTTTTAAATAACCACCTTCTCCCCCCTCTTTCTCATGCGCATTCGTTCCAATCATTTAAGCAGAACCCAATTACACATTATAAATGTGAATTGTCATTACTTACCCTGATTTTGCTGTTTGTGTGGCTGTGATTGAATGAACTCTTAATCTATTTGCAATGTCTTTCAGTTCCTGAACTGATTTGGCCTCTAACTTGTGGTATTTTGACATTTCTCAAGCGTGTTCGGATAGAAACAAAATGCTAATACAGCGGTTTGGAAGGCCGACTCATATAAAGTAGATCAACAAGTGGTTCCAACTTAGCATCGAACCATTACACTATCATTGTACGGTGAACCAATGATTTTTCTTTTCTCTCCCGCTACTGTATTATTGGTAGTTTAAATCACTTACGTAAAGAAACGGAAATGGTTAAAATTTTAAATTACTACTATGGAAATATCAAACGAGATTATTTTCTTTTATATCGAATAAATGCGTCAAGATTTAAGAATTTAATTTTGAGAATAGAATTCTATTAATCTATAAAAAAAGTGCTCAACAAATGTAAAAAAATTTGAATAATTCAAAACTTTAAAAGAGTTCCCTCTATAGTCACCATAACAAAATAATTCCTTAAATTTCCTAATATTTTCTGTTTCTATTTTTCATTTTCCAATTTTCACTATTCGTACGTCAGGCAACCCGTTATACAACAATGATTGTGGGTTTCCGTACCTTTACATAGCATGTCTCCAGGTTGCTACGTGTATATGTATATATGTATGTATATTAGTTGATTTACTATTAATTTTTAAATATAAATAGATATTATTTAGTAATTTTCCCAAACAGTTAAAGTTGTTATTATTAACACGAGTTGCACATTATACTATAGTTTTTAAAGTACCTGGATTATTGTAAATTTAAATAAATACCACTAAGATCTTGCAAATATTTTTCCTTTCTTTTATTAAAAAATCGAAAACTACACCAAAGAGCATAGACTAATAATCAAAGAATCAAAGAGAACGGCACAACAAAATGCTTTATTTATTTAGTTTGTTAAAATTTACCTATCCTGCGGCTTTCTTTATTAAATTTACTGGCAATTAATTTGATACTACGATAAATTTTTGAAACTTATTTCGAAAACGCGAATATCAACGTTCATTTAATTGTCCTGGTTTTTATCAAAAAAATAACTACCTTGACAAAGTTATACAAATAATATGAATGTGCAGCTGAATTTTAATTACATTGAAGTTATTTTGTATATTTTTTAATAAACAAGCTAACTAATCGATTTAGATCACAGAAATTACATATTGTTACAGACATGTCATTTCCGTTGTTTCTTGTGTAATTATTATTGAACATAATACTGTAAACAAATTTTGTATTATAACAGTGAGCGCGCAAATCAGTTGATTTTTAATATATTACAAATGGCATAATCGAACTATTTTGGTTTTCACTTTTATCAGTTATGGTGAAAACTTTGACAAGTGTTTGGATATAGTTATGATCTATTTAATATAACCTCAATTAGTAGTTTTCGAAACAAAGATTTGTGCAAGTGATTGTACGAAGCTTTATGATTATATCGTGATAATTTTAATAAAAGGACTCGAGACAGTCCTAGTATAAACTGGCTGTCATGAGTAATTTATTGTTCATTACAGAAGATGAAGGAGATTACCCATTACTTACAGATAGTAGTACAGAAACTTACACTGAGAGCCCACTTGCAGAAGAGTCTGAAAATTCAAATAGTTTTGCCCCATCTCCTTGCCAGTCAGAAGATTCCACTATAATGATTGATATTGGTGGGTATTTAATTTTTAACTATCGAGTTTTGTGTTTATATAAAAAATACTTTCCATGGTGGAAACGTTGCTAAACAAGTAATTTGCTTTGTTTTAGATTCCAGTAAGTTTAGCGACAACAGTGGTGATGATCTTATAAAAGTTCTTTGCAATTCTTTTAATGGGTTAAAATGTGAGTCGACAAAAGAATCTGCTTCTGATAAAGGTATAGAAACTGTCGTTGAGATTGAAAGACCATCCTCATCAATACTTAGAAGAAGTTCATATACTTTAGAAAGTAAAGATTATTTAGAAAAATTGGAAAATCAGAAAAGCAGACAGGTTTCTTTTCCTGATGATGCATCTGCATTAGCAATGTACAAGGAACCTGAGTGTTCCATGCCATGGAAAATAAGTATGGTTTTTATTTTATATTTATTCTTTTTGTTTTATTTAAGTAGTGTTGTCTAATTGTAATACTTTTTGTAGCAAAACAATTATCTGCAAATGAAATTTTACAAGAATACAAAAATTCATGTAAAATACATCGAGCAGTTGAAATTGATACTATAAAAAAACAAATACATGTAAGCAATACTATAAGCATCTGCTTATTTGTTTAAGAAATTTATTGTAACTTCTTGTTTGCAGGATATCAAGAATAACATGAATAGAACATCTGTTTTGAATATTAGTTCTGTTCAGGTGACAACTGAAGTGTGTGAAACTTTAGAGGACATGTTTAAGATAGCAAATTTTCATACAATTCATATATCTGAATGTAAATTTACACAAGAAACTGTGCAAGAATTTATTAACATGTTAGAATACTACGAACCAACAACAGAACTGGTTGTTTCTGATAGTTTTAATGACTTAGAAGCATGGAGGAAACTTTGTGATTATATATCAAAGAGCAGTTATCTACAATCACTGATATTTAAAGATCTAACAGTTAATGAACAATATATGCGTTTTTTCCTTGCTGCTGTAAATACTAATAACAACATTACTTCTCTCACATTTGATAGTTGCAATTTAGATAAAACACCTTCTTATTTAAGTAAGTTTTATGAATGAATTTAATTTATTTTTATTATAATCATAATAATTACCAATATTTTGTAGTTGAGAGTTTGATAAACAATACAAGCATTCAAGAATTGTATTTACTACAAGTTGGACTTTATACAAAAGAAGCTGAATGCTTGGGAAGATATTTGTCAAACAATTCATTTCTTCAAGTTCTGGATTTAAGTAACAATTTTATGGGTGACAGAGGATTAGAAGTATTAGCTAATGGTCTGAACCAACAGCAAAACAGTGTTATAGGTCTTTCCATTCTTATTTTAGTTAATAATCAACTTACGGAAAAATGCGGTCCTATTATTAATTCTATTATCGTAAGTTTTTTTGTATGTTTTTATGATATGCGGATTTATCAGACGTGTTTCTTTTTATAGTCATCCTGTGGTACATTGAGAACATTAAATATAGGGTATAACAATTTAACTGATAAGGTATTACAGTGTATACAAGAAAGTTTATCAGAAACTACAACTCTTGAGGGCTTAGGATTACAGACAACTTTATTGACTTGTAGTGGAGCATTCTTTTTAGCAGAAGCTATAGAAAAAAATAAATCATTAGAGGTAGGAGAGAAAATGAATTGCAAAATTTCTTTCAAATTGGTATTTGATATTTTTTTTTTTACAATACAACTCAATGAGAAAAAAAGAAGTGTTTTTTAAAAATGTTCCCGTTGCATACAGTAATATGAAGTTAATCAAAATTAAAATCTGTAGGTATATTATAGAAACTGTTGCATAAAAGTTTTGGTAATAATTTCAGAAAATTAATTTAAAAGGAAATAAGGCTATCCAAACCAGTGGATTAGAGAGGCTATGTAAAGCCCTTACAAATTCAAAAATAACAAAAGTGGAGTTGGATGAACACAATAGATCATGTAGTGTAAGTATTTTTAACTTTATATTGTTCCTGGCTTTTGTAACTGCAGTTTAATTTTTAGGATCCACAAGGTTACAACGAAATCGTTAAAAAAATAAATGGTATATGTACTATAAACAGGTCTCTTCAAGAGCAAAAAGCAGACGAAGATGCTTCAACATTAACGTACTCTTGTCGAAAGATATCGTTAAGTTGCGAACCTCGATATACTTTACCTCCTTTTTATTGTCAGCCTAGTACAACAACAACAACTACAACAACAACAACAACAACAACGTCATCAAAACATAGGTTTCATGTCTTAAAGGTTAGTGAAGCCTGTTTGAATGGCCCCCCTAGTATCACTACTTCTCGATTTCGAGTTTTTTCTGTTCCTACCCCCCCTATAGACTTAAGCGAAACAAATGAAAAATAAATTCAGCTAAACACCTATTTTTTGGAGGCTATATAACTATTTATAGGTATTTTTATCTACAAAGTAAATAAGAAAGATACATTCTTCAATTTTTGCAATAAATTTGGTTTCATAAAATTAAAAAAAAAACTGACCCAGTTTCAGGCCGACAGCTAAAAAAGTTATTTACTCATAATTATTAGGATCTGATTTTACCATAGGAACTGCTAAAGGTGTTAACCATGAGTTTTAAAACGCCGAGAGATCATTAATTCTTTAAGCCAACTACTCAAAAACCCTACAAAAGTAAAATATAGTTTTCCCTTTTAAATATATTGTTTCGTTTCGTTATTTAACGGGCAGGAGATGTCGTAAGTCGCTTTGAAATATAGAACTTTAGCTTTCCTAGAATTGATAATTACGATTCTCTAAGTGTGATCTAAAAGCACTAATACTAAATTTATCGATGAACATCACTTTTTATTATCTCTGAAGTGGCTTTTCAACATACCAAGTTTTATACATAATTTATATTAAATTGAAAGCTTTAAAGTATTCAAAAATGTGTATCATTTTATATTACATTACGTTTGCTTTAGTTATCTACTGTTATCATTAATTAAAGTATATTTTTATGAAACCTAACAATGATTTAGAGATAATAGAAAACCCCAATGGTTATTATTAATCGATATAATGACCTACATTTAGAGTAAATGTTTTTTCTGAATAATTCTTCTTAAATAGTTTATATAACCTCGATAATAAGTGTTTTGTTAGAGATAAGCTAAAGAATCTATTTTCTTAACTTTGGAAATTTTTTTTCATTTTTTTTTATTATACAATAGGTATTGTTTCTTAATGTATATAAATAATTCTACCCGTACATACAGCAAATTTTATATAAGACTTTCAGTTTTTGAATGTCTTACCAACTTGAAGAACTTTTCACTTGTACTATTTCCATTTTGTATACAAAAGATCTTTTTCGTTGCCCTAGTACTACTTTCTACTGTACATACTACTTTAAAAAAATATTTGNTCGCTGCGAGTATGTGCATTTCAAAAATTCCGTTGTCCCCACCACCATAATTTTATAATAAATTGGAATAGTACTTCTCACTTTTGGTCCACGTTTTCGTGTGATAATTATTGTTCAAATTGAACAAGCGGTAAATTTTATCTATTTTAGTAGCATAATAATTGTATATAAACATATATATTTATTATTTCAAAAAAAAAAAAAAATTAAAGTGTCTCAGCATTACGTTTTAAGGAGTGTCTCTAAAACTTCTTATTTCTCTTCTCCCAGAAAACACACCTATTAAAAAGAAACAGTAAAAACATATTAACTTTTACCTGACAATAAATTATAACTTATCTGTAGTATTTGTGTAGCTTTGATATAATTTCTATTTACATTTAATGATTTCAGATTAATTATACCTAATCAGTAAAGGTAAAAACGTAATACATTTAAGTCCAATTGCTTTTAAAAGTGATTTTCTATAAATTTAACATTCTTAGTTAAGTAAGTTGTATATTGCAGAATGCACAATTCCTGTTACTGACCTTTTAATTTTAACAACCTCGATTTAAATAACATAACTACTACATAGAATACATAATAATACCTATATAAAACCTGTTCGTCTCATACATAATGTCTTTTAATTCTATTTTCATTAATTTTTTAGAAATATGTTACTGCTATGTAACACATGTAAATTTTGTAAAATAAAACATTACGGACAATACACGTGTCATTGTACAGTATCGTTCAAAATAATTGTTTCTGTTTTTAAAGGAAATTAAAGGTACAAATTTAGTACAGCTAGTGTATAAATACATAAACACTTTGTCTTTTTTTTCGTTCCTTTTGTTTTTTTATTTGTAAACTATGCATTTTATTACTAGTTCAAAGTTTAAATATTATAATATATGTGATATATTGTATGTGATATATACAATATTCTTAAGAGTATTTAAAATCAAAATTTTGATGGGTTTACTAACAAAAGTGATTTTCAGTTAGTTCGTTGATTTTTAAGACAAGCCCAAAGATGTGTATGTGTTAGTTTTAATAAGAGTTTAATTTTGTTTTGTTTGTGAATAAAGTTAAATGATTTAAAATAAAGTTAACAATAAAGAATTCATTTTTCTAAATAACTTACTTGCAACTATCACTTCTCTGTTTTTCAATAACAAACAAAAAAGAAGTAATTTTTTAGTCCATTTGCTTGCATTTGCGTGTTTGAGCAATATACGACATATTTTCTATAAAATTTTATTTCCCAGTCAACCATATAAAATTTAAAACTTAATATTACATTTTAAATAAAGCTCGAATAAAAATCCATTTCCGGTTGTAATAAATAAAAATTGTTAAATATAAATTATCAATTATCATCAATTAATAAGATATTACATATGTAGTTTCATAATATTATAATTAATACCACAGTAATAAGGCAATACTTTTACTATAACAATTTTTTAAATGCCTCTATTAAGTACAGCTTATTGCAATTACACTTTCTAATAAGTGAAAGGGCTTTTGAAAGTCACATTTCATTAACGCGATTATAAATTACTCCTGTAGTACGGTTGTCTCGCCTTGTTCGAAGGTTAACTGCTATTTAAAATAAAGTTTAAGGTGTGCATACTGTCTACCCCTCACCAACGAATATATATATTACGAAAAAATGTAACAAAATATTATTAACAATATATTTAACGATAAATACTGAAGAAGTAATAAAATCACAGAAACTGTTTTTTTTAAATGTTTCAAACAGGATAAATAAATTGCTAATGGGTTTATTTAATAATAATTTTTACAATAATTATCACCACGAATACGATCATATTACTTATCCAAAAGAAAGGCAGTTCTTATCTTTTAAGAAAAAAGACAAGATTGGGCACTTGAACAGCCATATCTATAAGATATTGCTTAAAATTCAATGTTTATTTGTTAACAGCCATTAATAGATCCGTTTTTAACGTGCTGTTCGGAAGGATGTTGAAGTAAAACAGGTTCTTTGAATTTCTTGCCTTTTACTAAAGATTCTAAATCTTCTCCCTCGTAAGAGAGTAAAGGAGAAATTTCCACGACATTTCCTTCAACTTGACCTCCGGCATTTTCGATGTACTTTTTGTGCAAATTGAATAGAGACTGCCTAGCAGTTGATGGGCATTCCTTACCAATATCGTCGGAATTTTTAAGTGCGCTAAACTCGGAATCTCTCGGTACTTCCCACGTGACAAAAAATTTACTGTATTCGAAAACATCGAATATGAATTTCTCAATTTTGATTCCATTAGGTGCATTCGGCTTTACAGTTTCTCCTTGATCATTAACGTAAGGAATCTTCTTTTTTGCAACGTGCAATTTTAAGTTATTTTCGTGCTTTTCCCCAATCCTACGTAGAAAAGTAACTGTAAAGAAGTGGTTGCAAATGTTTCCGTCCTTGAAAATTAAATTTTCTTTATCGTCTCGCAAACTTGCCGTTTTTTCGGTTATTTCGCTGTATTCAACAACCTGAAATTTTCCATCCACCCTACATACAACCCCTACTGCTTCCGTCGGTGATTGTTTACTGACAGTTTTTGCTCCACAGTCAGCATTTTTGCTTACACAATAACCGATAAATATAGGATCTGCTACTTTAACGAGAATATTATCAACGCTATAGACATGAATGTAGTCAATGCCGCGTTTTCCCATATCATTTAAAACTCCTGACTGATAAAGAGCTCTGTATATTCCCCCGTTACCATCGGGAGCGAATGAGATTCGACTTTTCGTTTCCAAAAGTATTTTGCCGTTCATATCGAAGCATGGTAATACTCCTTGCTCAAAGAATACGACATCATCTTCATCTAAACCAAAAAATTTATTATCCCTCAAAAATTTTTCTGTCGCTTCTCGGGAAGGGCCGCTTGTCATGATGTACCACGGAATTTTACAATTTTTCCCATATCTGCTACTTGCCATTTCTTGCAATTTCAAAATGCGCTCTGCTTGAATTTGGCATAAACTTTTTCCGGAAGGAAGTCCTACTGAGTACATTATTTTAGGATATGACACTCCTAATCGAGTCCCTTGACCGCCGCCTAAAAGTAAAGCACAAACACGACCTTCGGATATCTCTTTTAAACCTATGCTTCGATATTTTTCCAATTGTTCTGGCGACGAATTAACCCTGGATTCAAATTGGGATGGAGGAATGGGTTCCATCTTATCGTCTAATTTCTTTACCGTTTCTTGAAGAGATGATAGTGCATTCTTGAAGAGTTTGTTTATTTCTTCAATGTCCAAATTTTCTAGCTGGGAAAGAAGATTTTGTTTCTGATTATCGTCTAGTTCGTCGTAAAATCTCAATAAATGGGATTGTTCCGCTTTTTCTAAGCGATTTATTAATGCCTCTACATTAGCCATTTTACCCTTTTTCTATTAAATCTTCTACAATCACTAGTCTTTTCACCTTTGTTCTCTAAACTAACACCTTAACTAAACTGTATTCATACTTTCGTGTGCTTTCGCTGCGAGTATGTGCATTTCAAAAATTCCGTTGTCCCCACCACCATAATTTTATAATAAATTGGAATAGTACTTCTCACTTTTGGTCCACGTTTTCGTGTGATAATTATTGTTCAAATTGAACAAGCGGTAAATTTTATCTATTTTAGTAGCATAATAATTGTATATAAACATATATATTTNTGATCGTTGTTTTAGCTGTAGCCTATTTTGTTTTTGTTTAATAAATTTGTTATAGCTCTTTAAGTATTTTCTTAAACCCTATCACATATCAAGTTCAGGTTGAGGCAACCGTTTGTTTTCTGGATGTTTCCTTGAATTGGGTGAATTGCTCATCAATTTTAGCTAGCAGAGCATTTTCGCAGCAATTTTGTTTAATAATTACTGAAAATAAGAAATATTTGTTACATGTGTCTTAGTGTTACTGCATTATTCTCTGCTAGCTTTCCTTCTAAATTCTTCGAGAGAAAAAAGAAAGATAAATGTTTACTATCTAAACTTCAATTTTTGTACTATAAACAGTATTAATGTTTGATGGTAGTTAAATAAATATTGTTTTAGTTCTAACTTGTATATTATTTTACTACTTTCTTTTAAAATATTATGTATAATTGTTCTAAAATTCTATTAATATAAATACACCTTAATTTTTCATTTTCCCTAATAATTCCACTTGCTTTCCTTAATAACTTTTTTAAATATAAATTAATATGCTTTTATGAAAATCTGAACACATGGATTTACACATTCAATTTATGCAGCGCGTATCCCACAAGAATGATTATAATTTTAAGTTTGAACTAAATCCTAAATAACTTGTAGCTCAGTAATTGGTTACATTTTTTCACTTACATAATATAAATAATAACTTAATAACAAATGGAAATTAGGAACGGACACATTAAAAAAGCTACAAATAGTTTCTTTAAGTATTTCGCTATATTTTGATAAAATTTAAATTTGGTTTAAATAAAGTATATTAAATTAAAATTAAATGGGAATGACTTATTAGCTAAAACTGAATGGACATATGTTGAGCATTTTTATATACAATAATTACACAAAGAAAAATTACAATTCTTATAAACCTGCACTTGCTATTAAATGAAATAATCTTAAGATATGCAAATATATTTACAAGAAACGCTGGTTTTCACTTGAATTCACTGTATTTTATTAAAGCTTGGATAATTAAAGTTCTATTGATTATATGCTAATTAATTGGACAAATAAAAGCTACAAGTAACAGATTCTTTACAAATATTTTAAGAATTCTTTTAAACATGTAATAATAACATTATAGTGTTTGTTCCAGCTTTTATTCGTCCTATTTTATGATAAAAAAATTTAACTGCTTTAAGCTAAATTTGATAAATGTATGGATTATATTACTTCTTATTCGTAGAATAACTGTGCATTAGTTAATGCAAATAAATGCATGCACATTTAAATCACTCTTGTAGTAGGAAAATAATTGTATATCTCATTTATTAGAGGAATTTGGTTGAATATCCATGGTTTTACAAACCCATCCTGCTATATCTACATTCTCAGATTCTGCTCGTTTTATCCAAGGATGATCCTACAAGATAAAAGAATATACCTACATAGTATATTTAGTGATTCAAACATGAAAATTACCATAAGTGTTTTTAAATCGGCTCTTTCATCCGGATTCTTTTTCAAACATTGGTCAACAAAGTCTTTAAATTCATCACTGAAAATTCCAGCTGGAAGTTTTGGTGGAGGCTCATTAACTATATAGTCTAACAGCTCAAATATAGCCATTGGTCTTGGGCCATTAGATGAATTAGATGGGTCACTATCTTGGTTAGGGCCAAATATATTAGCTAATGTTTTAGCATCAGGAGGAGGGATAGGATACATTCCTATGGCCATTTCTACTAATGAAAGCCCTAGAGACCATATATCACTCTGAACAGAATAATGTGTACCTTGAAGTCTTTCAGGCTATAATTAATAGTGGAATTATTATAAGTACAATTCCTGGTAGAAACATAATCCACTTACTGACATATAACTTCGTGTGCCAACAAATGAATTAGCCATTGAATCAATAAGTTGTCCAGATACTCCAAAATCACATATTTTTATTTCTCCATTACTATTTACTAGAATGTTACTTGGCTTAACATCTCTGTGCATAATAGCATGTTTGTCTCGTAAGTAGCTTAGTCCCTTTAAAACTGCTGATGTTATTTTACCAAGAATGTTTTCTGGAATGCGCCCTGCTTTCTTCAAAATTAAGTCCAATGATCCTGCATCCATATACTCCATACATATACTTATTTCACCATCACTGTAAAATGCTCCATAAAACCCAACGATATGAGCAAAATTGCATTCATGTAGCACTTTAAGTTCTCTTATAATTTGTTTTTTAATAGCTGCTTTCACTTCTAAATGTATCAGTTTTCTGGCCATTATAAGTCTGCTAGACTTATGCCTCACCTAAGACCAAAAAGAAGAACTAACACTAAAACAAAAGCTAATATTTTAAGACACAATTTACTTTCATTACTACTCCACCATTTCCTGAACCTAATTCTCCAAGTTTTTCAAAATCATCATCACTTAGTTCACCCATTTGCTCTTTCTGACATAAGAATACTTCAATACGTTTTCTTTGAATATCATCCATGTCAAGTTCTTCTAATCGAGCTGTTAGATTGTCTATACTGGATTTTCGAACTAAATTATTCATACTAAAAGGCATATAATAATAAAATTGTTTTATAAAAAGAAATTAAATAATCACTTTGCAGGTTCTTGAAACGAAGCTCCTGTTGGAGTTATTGTTGGTGTCTGGTCAATTGACACAGGAGGGAGTTTTAAATTTAGTTTATTCTTCGACATTTTCTTTTCTTTCACAATTCTAATGTAATTTAATAAAATATCTTTATCACGGCATCATTATGATTTTCATACATATATTTGGAACACATAATTACATTATAGGTTATATACGGTGTTCATTCTGTTTGGTTAGTAAACAATCGTTCACTGACTTGTTAATGTTGGCAAAATATGTCGTATTGGAAGTAATTGACACAAAACATAAACTGCCGGAAAAAATAACTGCACTTGTAATTTTGTAAATTTTGCCTTTCTCAAAGAAAACAGGGAAAATTTAGAATACGAAAGTGAAATTTGCTATATTTTGCTTTTTACATTGTATACAACATATAGAATAGTATTCATAGATGACATAGACGTGTGTGTAAATTCTTTATCCGTATTCATAGATAAACTCCGATTCACAAATTAAAACCAGTTTCCCATTGAATATTTATAAATTCAAGGTTCATTCAATAAATTCGTTCGTTTGTTATGTAATAACAAACGGTACTAATAGTTTCTTGTAAATAGTAAACATTTGAAACACGTGTATCCACAGACGAAGTTAACTATTGCAGTTCAGAGGTAAAAAAAAATGCTGCTTGTTACTACTTAATTTCATATTTATAAATTAATGACCTTAAAAATTAAAGCCGTGGTTTAACAGTTCTTTTTCCTTGGAGTTGTCTATTCAACGTTTTATTGGCAGCTATTGCAGGTAACTTTCGGTTTTTTCTAAATAAGTTCAACTTAATCCAATTGCTATGAGATGCCCGCTAAAAGTTGAGCAGACAATTTTAACTAAGGGAGAACTTACTAACTCTAAGAGCAGCCATTAAAGGACTATTTCTTAGGTGGCCTTTGTTGAAAATTCTGCAAAAACAACATAATATTATACATATATATATTTATTTATTTCGAGATATTAATTAAAACAGTTTTGTTACATAAAAGCAAATTAAAAAAAACTAAGATTCACATATATACAAAATTTTAATCACAGATCTGGTTTTGGTGCAATGGTAAGTGTAACAGATAAACCAGATTCTTTTATGAGCGTCACAATATCGCCATGACTAAGATTCATAATGTCTATATGATTAACTGCTACTATGTAATCCCCGACCCTAAGCTGTCCACAACGTTCTGCTGGACTGTCTTCGATCAGACGACCTAAAGTTAAATATAATTTTTTTTAACTAAAACAATCAACAGCATTTTATATTTTTAAATGTACCTATGGTTGATCCGATTTTGTTCACCGATGATATTATTACAAAACCAAATCCTTCATTTTCATTTCTCGTTACTCTAACATCATACGTGTTAGGTGGAACATTTGACACGGAGGTGGAAGGGCACATAACACCTGGTGAATATTCTTGAACGGGAAAATTCGTCATTACTGGAGGCACACCACTGTATGATTGGTTTATACGTCTCCTTAATACCAAATGCACTTGGCCCCTTGCAGCTGCCGAATTCATAAGTTGCACAACGCAACTATGAGACGCTTGCAAAACTAAATAACCATCGACGCTTATTATTTCATCACCTGTTTTTATGCGACCGTCTAAATCTGCGGCACCTCCTGGCACAATATGTCCCACCGCGACCTATCAAATTAGAGTATTATTTCGATAACGTTCATTATTATTTTTTAATATGAAATTGAAATATAAACACATAATGTTGATGTATCGCAGGCAAATAAGAGCAAATACCTTTTGTTAAAACAATCATATTTTTTTCAAAATACATTTTTGGGTACTGAAATTTTCAAACATAAATTTATGATTAACGAATTGCTTCATTTTGCCTAGACACGCATAAATAACTAAAAATTATTACTAACATCTTGTCATTCTGGTAAAGGCATCAAACAAAACACGAACAAATAATGAAATAACAAAAGAGTAAAATCAATGTAACAAAGGTTTGCATGCAATTCTTTAAACAAAAGACTTGAAAACAAGTCCAACATACCTTCCATTAATTTTCTAACAAAAAGTTAAGTTCTTGCCATCACCAGATAACACGTTTTTAAAAGTCTTCCTACATTTACTGCCTCCCAATACAATGCAGAATCTGTTTCCACCAAAATTCGCGTCTTAAATGTACATTATTTAGTTAAAGAAAATATGAATCGGTTCCCTGCACATAATCAAAGATCAACGGAACGATAAAAAAAATTAAAATTTTAATATTCAATAATATCTGATTACATTATATGATCTTTGATTATTGATGTTAATTGATATTTACCGTTTCAGTATTTATAAATTTATTTAACAAACCTGTGAGCGATCTTCTATCCCTCCAATGATTCTGAAACCAAACCCAGTGTCATGACGATTTAATGTAACGGCAGTTTCGATGTATTCCGAATTATGTGGTAAAACCCACCAATCTTGAGAAACACTCTTTTTAATACCACTGAAGTCGTAAAGACTGCCATTTTCAACATTTTTATAATAATTGTAGTTATCATAGTAGTGACAGTCTTGAAATTTATTATAGTAAGGTGGTGCTTGATTGAACTTCTCAGAACGCAGAAGTAGATCTTCGTCATCGACTTCCGTGTTATCTATAAGAGACAATCGTAAACCTGTTGCTGAATCTTGTTTAAAATTTTCATTATGTAAGTCTCGTTTCATAATTTCGTCAGTACTATGGTCTAAATCTTTAACAGGAGATTTAGTTTGATGACGAGTATCAATAAGTGGAGTTTTAGGCCTAGCAGGTAGAACTTCTCGAGTTTGCGTACAATATATATCAGCTGTAGGGGTTTTACTTCTGTCATTCTTCTCTTTCCCAATAAGCCTATTATCATTTTTGCGTGGTTTGTTACGAATATTTGAATTTTTGTTGCAGTAATTTCTTTGAACACATATGGTAGCTTCACTACTGTAAGGACAATTTTTTAGTACTTGTACAACCTTGTCATGAGTCATGTTTTGTAAATTAATATTATTAATTTCAAGAAGAATGTCACCCTCCTGTAAGTTTTTGCACCGATGGCGATCTAAAATCTTCTTTACTCTTTGGCCACAGGCACTATCTGCAATGGTAAAACCAAATCCCAAGTTTCCTTTTACAATTTTTACTGTTACTTCCAATTTTCCTACATTCAGTTTGTTTATTTCTTTTAAAATGTTATCTATATCATGTACAGATTCTTGGTTACTATTTGTTTCACTTCTATTGTTGTCATTCCTGTCTAAGAAATTATATTTACTTTCTAAGCTACTCAATTGTTTTTCAACTGAAACCACTTGAAGATTATCATCTACTGCTATTGTCGTAACAACCTCTGTATTTGGATCATTAGGGTCAAATGGTAATGGATAACCTCGACAAACTTCTAAAGAAACAGTTGAACCCACACTAATAGACTGAAACAGTCGAACAATCTGATTATGTGTGTATCCTAATACACAAATGTCATTAACATAAACAATTACATCTCCCATTTCTAATTTTCCATCTAACCAAGCAGGTCCTTTAGGTACAACAGATTTTATTTGTAAAAATTCATCAACCCCATCATCACCGCCTATAATAGTAAAACCCAAACCTCTGGAAGATTTTACCAAAGATGTTGTAATACGCTGGCCACACAGTTCAACAGGATCTTTTGTAAAAGGCAAACGACTTATGGATGATGTTGAAGCTTGAGCAGCTGCTCTTTTAGCTTGAATAACAGGGTTTTCATACTGTGTTCTTCTATTTACATGGTCGATGAAGTAAATTCCATAATGAGGATCACTAATTTTTTCCCAACCATAAGGCAATTCATCATCCATACAATCTTCTAAGGACTTCTTTTGAAATTTTGAAAGCCTAGGATCTAGCCAGTGTGATGTACCCGTAGAATGGCTGTGAAGAGCATTGAACACAATAAAACTTAACTACTTGGTAAATTTCATACATAAGACTTTTCATAAACCTTTCATACTTAGATTATATTACAACCCATTATGTAATGAAACATGTTTGAAAATACTTAATGAATAGAAAAATGGTCATAAATATGTAAATAATGCTTACTCTATAAAATACACCTCCCCACTTTCTGTATATGCTTTCTCCCATTTTGGTGGTAGTGGACCCAGGTCATTTGTATCTTCTTCGGTATGCCCATTAAAACGTTCTTTATCTTCTTCGCCAAAATTAGAATTAGTAGAAGAAACACTATCACCTTCTGTTTCTACCCTTAAAGGTTGTGACAAACTGCTGTTGTCACTTTTGTGACTCATTTTAAATTTTCCTTAAATATAAATCGGTCTTCTTCTTTCATGATATTAAAAAAAAAATCATACATTTATTTCATATTAGACAATGTTGCACTATCTGAATTGGTTCAGAAGTTCACTATGATTATAGAGAAATAAACATTCGTTTTTTATTTATTAAATTTCTTGAACACTATCAAAATCACAATACAGATATTTTCTTCTTGTTCTTATTTCTGTCCGTCCATAGTTTCTGTCACATTTTTGTGGTTTTTATAAAATGTACAATTTAGCCAACTACCACGAATTGATATTAGCTGATATTAGGCACTTATAAAACATTATTGATAATATTAGAAAATTAAACTGTTTAATTTGTTTTCAGTAAAACAGTATAAAACATTAAAAGAATGCTTGAACTTATACAAAAAAAATATCGTTTCACCATTGGACTATAATGTAAACACTATTTACCATTTCGGTGTTGTCATTAGATAGTCATTACATGGTCATTATACATAGATAATAGATACACAAAGGGTCATTATACGTTAACCAAAGATTAGAGATATATGGTAATTGTATATAATACTTTTAAAATTTTGTTATTTTCTTGTTAACTTTTGTATGCGTTTTAATGTAATTTCGTGTCCTTTTTATTTAATGGTATAGTTAATTTGTTTTTTCTTGTTTTGTTCCACAGATTAACCGGTAATTGAAAGCGTGTTGATGTTTATCCTTATACTGCTACAATATTGACAGTTGGAATGGTGTGCAATGGTGAAGTTCTATTTGCATTACCTTTGTGCAGTTTTGCAGTTTATTACGGTAAGAATGTATACCTTTTTTTAATTATTTCAGACTAAAATTGAAAGGTATTGGTTACTAATGCCTTAGTAATCTATAAAATTTTCACACGATTTTGTTTGTAATAAAATTTGTGTTTCTGAATATTTGGACGTTCTTCCCTAAATAAGTAATATTTGAAAATTGGATAATTTGTTTATAACTTATTGGCCAGTTACTAAAAACTGTAATACGTAATTTTAATATTAGATAAGTATAATTGAATAATCAATACTAACATACTATGTGTCCCCTGGAGAAAATAAAAATACTAAAATTAATAGCAATACTTGTTTGCATGGTTATTCCAAAATGTAGCTTAAAATTCTACTCTTTAATGTAACATATTATGAAACATTGGTTTCTCTTTAGTCCTCAGGAAAAGGTGAAGGTGCCTTTTTTGTATTGGGAACGGATGCAGTGTGTTATTGTTAAAAGAAGGATTTGTGACATGAATTGGTAAGTAACAATTAAAAATAGTAGATGTAGTTCTAAGTCAATTTCTTAGAATTA